GGACTTGCAAGTAGACCAGAACACATCACACACACACATGCACACACACAGATGAGGAAACGGGGAACTTGAAGACACATCACATGGCAAGACACCCAGTGAGGACAGTGGGCCATGACAAAAATACAAACTCAAGATGTACTTTGAATTCCTGCTCCAGAGTGGACACCGACTGGACTGTTCAGCTTGATCTGACTCCTCAATATCTGCTTGCCCTGCCTGAATTTCATCCTCAGAGCTCCCTGAATCATCTTCCTCTGCTTCTTGCTCAAACAATGCATCTTGATCTTCTTCATCAGACAACTCAAGATTTGAGTTTCCCTCAACAATGTGCAATAAAATTCCATATGCTTCTGGTCATTTAAAAAAACAGAAGAAAATGGAGGAAATAACTACAAATGTCCACTACAGAGAACATTTCTTTAAACCAGGGGTCGGCAACCCTAGGCACGCGTGCCACAGTTGGCACGCGAAGGAATAAATGATGTCACGACCATAACTAGACTGGCCATCGGGCATACCGGGCATTTGCTCGGTGGCCCGATGACAGTATAAACAATGAAAGGTAGTGGATTGGCCAGATGCTGGCTGGTGTGTAAAAATAACTCAGTTGTTTGGTGGTGGCATCGTGGAGCTTCCACAGATTCAGTAACATTAACAAGTGGTGGAGGCCAGATGAGGGAGAGGGGAGGCAGGAGGAGGAGAGACCCGAGGCGGTGAACTGAACTTCAGGTAAGAAGTTATGACCTGCAGTCTATCTGGGTCAGATATAAACCAAGTTTAGGTGGAGTTTATTTTCGTTGTGCTGACTTTTTACAGTCAGTTACAATAACTCGTACTGCGTACTAGCTAGCATGATGGATTTTATATACTTCTGGGTGGGTGCTATGATGTTACTGATAGTGAACTTTATTTTATTCATAAGGTTAGTTAGTAGAGTTGCCAACTGTGTCGTAAAAAACAGAATCGTCCCGTATTGAGAGAAATTATTACGCGTTTCGTGTTGAGCTGAGAAGGGACGCAGTTTGTCCCGGACTTCATCTAGGATGAAAAAGACACAAAGGTGGATTTATTCTGTCGTTACGCTGCACAGCTGCCTCTTCTTCTCTCATTCTCTCCCCTCTCTCTCCTGTTTCTACTTTAATCGTGAAACTGATCAATGATCAGCTGATCGGCTTTACTCTCTTGTTTGTTTATCGCCCACTTTGCGCCAGAAAGAGGAAACCAGCGGATGTCGCACTAAACAACAGCAGCACGTTTAACCTTGATCAGCTGTTGTTAGGATTTATTTAATATTAATTTCTAATATCAGCTGATGTTTGCTGGAGCCACAGCTGTAAAAGCTGCTGATCATGATATCGGTTTGTATATCTGGTGAGAGGGAAACATCAACAGCTGAACAGGTGATGGAGAAACAGGTTTATCAGGATCTAGCAAAGTTTTGCCAGGGGGGCCAGGTAGAGCATTAACAGGGAAAGGGGGCACAAAGAAATACTTTTCTTTCTTATTCTCATTTAAAATGTCTGACTGTTATTAAATAATTATCTGAATCTTACAACCAAATCAGATTTTCTCTCACATAAGTGTCCTCAGGTAGCTGTCTGAATGCTGGACACTCGGAGACCTGTGTCTTTGAGTGGGAGACCAGAGATCACATTAACATGTGTGTCTCTGTATTAACAAACATGCCATATTGGCTTAGTTTATTTTTCTTATCATTGTTGTGAGGAGACCATAAATAGCATTTGTATTTTCTGTTGTACAGTCCATTTGCTGTTATGGAGTTCTTGTTATGGATGAAAAGTCTTTTTTCTTTTGTCTTTTTTTGTTTCAAAATAGCTGATAACTATTCACTGATAGCTGCCAACATCTGCAAACAAATAGAAATCTATAAAGTGGTTCTGTATTGTGTGTAACTGTTCATATAGAGCGTTATTAAATTTATTGATAATGCAATCATATGGCACGCTGACTTCTGAGGAAATTTTAAATGGCACTCGCCATCAGAAAGGTTGCCTACCCCTGCTTTAAACACTTCAATACTATCCTTAATTAAAGTAAAATTAGCATACTATGCTTTAATGTGTTATTATTAAGGGACTTATCTAAAATATGTTAACAACATTTATAGTCAAAAATTGCTCCACCACAACCACCCACACATGCAGGACCTTGGAGTAGGGGTATGTCACCAGGGTGCAGAGGAGGCTACCCCCCCTCTGTCCCCTTCTGGCTGCCTCTGCCTCAATTTTATCCCACAACTTAGACATTCACATTACTCACACTCTCATTACACATACATATAGGATCTTGGGGGTGGGCACGATACACGGAGTCCAAATTACCATCAGGGTGTACACCTCACCCCTGGCGTCGTTGCCCACCTCTCAATTTTAAATACACGTAGACATTGAGGGCTAGCAGGAGGGACTATGCGCTTACCTGCTGCTCTCTGGCAGGTAGCTCCATGCCCTCCTGGGTTTTAATTGCACCTTAGAACACACATGCATCAACACTACAATGAGCGGGTGGAGGGAGGTTTGGAGTCTTCTCTCACCCCCATTCTCTGCGGCCTGCTGGAGCGGGGGGGCTAGGAGGAGGAGTTGGCCGTCCGACTGCGGTCTGGAGTGTGGGGCCTCCCTGCTGCTACGGAGTCGGGGCGGTCTGCCTCCCCCCACCGCAGGGAAAAGGGTAACACCACCTGGGTCTGGGTGCAATTCCCCCCTCCAGGGGCAAGGGTACCTAGACCCGGTTCGTAGAGTACGCTTGGGGAGTGTGATCGTGTGTACAACGTCTCTTTATGTCTGTCTCCACGTTGGTTGAGTGTGGAGTAAGTGCATATGAGAGCATGAGGGTGGGAATGGATGTTTGTATATGTGTGTGCCTGTATGTCTGTGTCTATATGTCAGGTTGGGTATCAGACGCCACCTCTCTGGGGACATCTCAGGCCCTCCAAGGTTTGGAGGCCTATCTCCACCCACCACCACTTCCCCTGCCAGTGGCGGACTCCCTCAGGTGTCGGTGCGTTGGTGGTTCTTTGTGTCTGGGGTGGGCGTCCGGGTACACACCGGCTCACTCCTTGGCGGCCGCTTATCGGGGCCTGGAGCCTGGGGCTCGCTTGGGCCACTTCGGAGGTGGGGTGCCCCCGGACTCTCGGCCTGGGGCTCGGTCACTCAGGCACAGCTGGCTGCCGGCGGAGCTCACGGGCGCGTTACTGCAACTCCCCCTGGCTTCTCCTCCGCGGCTGCTGAGTGAGCCCTCATCTGGGACTCTCCTCAGCTCTTACTGGGACAGTGGCGCGGCTGCCCCTCTGTTGGTCTTCCTTGGTCTCTTGTGTTCTGGGGGCCTCTGGATGTCTGGAGTTTTGATCTCCTCCATACCTGCTTCATACCCTGGAGGACGGGGCTGTGGCCCCCCCCCACACTCCCTAGCAGATCGTTACATGGAGAAACCTTTGGAATGCAAGCATGCTGATCCACACAGGTGTGCACACAGGTGTACACACGGGTGTTCACAGACGCGGACTACAGCTTTCTTGGCTGCTGCCTCAAAGCACATTGTGCGCTGTCTGTCTTGCGTGCTGCACAATATCGTTTATTATTTAGTATCTACTGATATCAACTGCTAGCTAGTTTATTGGGATGGTGCCGTTTTTTTTATTATGTTGCTCTTTGTTGTTTGCTTTCTCCTCTGTTTTTTTTCTCCATACAGGTGACCCAGGTGTTTTGTTTTTTTTGTTTGTTTGTTTGTTTTCATTCTTTCTCCCCCCTTTCTCACCATCTCTTCTCCCCTTTGGTTTTCTTTCTCTCCCTCTCTTTCTTTCATTCTTTCTCCCTGTCCTATCCCCCAGTCATGTCTGTCCCGTTTGTACCAACTGAAAATAAAATAAATTCATAATTATAATAAAGGTCAATCAAATGGACCAATATGGCAAGGCCATGATGATCCACTTGGTAAAATAAATCCGCTCCAAACAGGACACAAAAAAATAAAAAAATAAATTAAAAAAATTGCTCAATAAAATGTTTTATGCACTTACTTTTTTTTCTTCCCATAAAATGTGCTTGTAGTAATGGCCGTCATGTTCCTTGATGAAAAAACTAAAGTTCCCAAAGCCTCACCTCTTCACATTTGGTATCATTGGAAAGCCCTAAATGTGCTCTGTAGATACCAAAAGGAGGTAATTCTGTAGTATGTAGTGGAGATATTCAGGTTTAGAAATGTCCTCTACAGAGGACAAATTTGTATTGCTGATGGTCAGGGGGATATGGATGTAAGTACAACTGTATGGAATTTTTGGGCCAGAGCACAATTTGATAAGAGAAGTGTTAAAGGATGTTCCACGCTTCAGAAAACTGACTCTTAAGGTGCATAGATTTAAGTGTTAATTACAGTATTTGTTACTAGTTACCAATGAGGAGAGTTAATGTGTTTAATGAAACCTTTGACAAGTAACAGGCAGTCAACTATAACCACTGTTTGGTCCTGCATACTGTCATGACAATGCAGGTAAGAATACACTGTGATTACGCGCACATAAGAATGAATAAATTATTTTCATGTCTGGTGACATTGGTGTTTGAAGGATGACATGGAAGGCAGGGATTTGTTTTTTGTGTTTTTTCTTTTTACACTGTTAAGCATTTGTAGCTTTAGCGACACATGAAACCTGGGGGCTTAAGTGTCGGTGGGGTTTTAAGTGATTGTGAAGATGTTTTCAGGTCTAGTACAATAACAGCACTTGATTCCTTATCAGGTTGAAAGATGTTTTTGTGTTCCTGTCAATTAACAGTGTAGTTAAAACACATGGTGAAAGATATGAAAGTAACAGTATGAACTAGTAATTCTCTGTTCTACAGCTTGTACTTCCAGGGTATTTGTGACACCTAAAGAATCTACTGCCAGGAGGCTGAGGGGTATCATGTAATTAATGTTGCAAGTCACTACAGTGTAAATAGGATCACCTATTGCTAATTTTGTTTTTTTCTTTTCACACTCAGCAACTTCATATGGTCGCGGGACCTACTTTGCTGTAAAAGCCAACTACTCAGCCCACCCCACCTACTCCAAGCCAGCTGCTGATGGTTCTCAGTTAATGTTCGTCGCCCGAGTCCTCACAGGCGTCTACACTCTAGGCCAAAAGGATATGATGGTGCCTCCACCTCGAAACCCCCAGCAGCCTCACGACCGTTACGACAGCGTGGTAGACAGAATGTATAAACCCAGCATGTATGTTGTGTTTCATGACAACCAAGCGTACCCTGACTACCTCATCACATTCAAGGGAGAGTAAAGGAAAAGTGTTTTCCACTGTTTACAAAGGAAGGTGTCTTAAAAAACCCCAAATAATAATATAAAACTTATATATGTACATTTGAAACTACAGACAATTATATTTAATGAAATGAAATTAAGTATTGAATTATATCTGATTTTAAACTCATGGAGTAAGTCCGTTCCTTAGTACTTCCCAGTTTAGTTTCATGTTATTTTGTATCGTTGTCATCTTTTGTCAGCAATAAAGCTGTATTTTGAGTTCAGTCCTGTTTTCCCGTGAGTTGGCGTTTGGGTCCTATTTCCTGCCTGCCACACAGCCAGTTCATGACAGAATTAGCTAAACAGTAGCTGCTTCTGATTGAATGAAATGAAAAGTCCTGAGAACCAGCCTTTTATGGCCTCATTTATGGCCTCTGTAATGGACATTTGTTTTTAGTCAATATCTTTTGACCTCTTTGAGCTACCCTATTAAGTCCTGATGTACTAAATAGAGGACATCCTGGGCTTTCCATTGATATCTCATGTGTTTGGATTGTCTCTATTACTTCTAAAGAGGAAGAAAATCACCAAAAAAGGTCAATGGGAAGAGTCTCTTATTCTCGGTTCTCAGATGGATATGTATATAAACACTGGAAACATATTACAAGATTATGCAGTTTTAAATCTTTTATATAGTTGACATTTGCATCATATATCTTCACTTTGTAAAGTATAAAGCACTTAGAATCACATATAATTAATCTGAGAACTTGTCACAATACCATAATAAAGATTTATTGAATGATAGTCTGGTCCATGCTTAAAAAAGGGGAAAAATTAGAGTAGGTGGGTGATCAACATTCAAAAGGAAACTGTGAATTTTTAATTGAATACTTGTAACCAGAGATGGGCAGTAACGCGTTATACGTAATGTGTTACAGTGGTCCCTTTTTTGTCGCAGGAGTTCTAAAAATAATCTGCGATAGGTGAAATCCACAAAGTAGCAAACTTTATTTTTTACAATTATTATAGATGTTTTAAGGCTGTAAAACCTCTCACTACACACTTTATACACTTTTCTCAGACAGGCATGGACATTTTCACACTTCTCTTGTTTAAACACTCTCAAAGTTCAAACCTTAATAGAAAAATAACAAAGATCAGACCCTGTTTTCAGGTCCAGAACATGGGAATAAAGCATTAATGAATCAATGGTACAGAAGTAGAGGAAGCAAGAAGAATGAGTCGAGTAAAGTTTGACTCTTCTGACTGTTTTGTTTCGCTTAATGCGTCGTATAATGCAGTCTACCTTATGGTCCGAAAAATACGGTTACTTCTACCTTCCTTCAGCATGTCCAGAAGCAAGGGCGTAGATTTGGCATGGACGGAAGGAACATGTCCCCATTAATATCCAGCGATTATTGAATTGTCCCCACCAATAATTTGATCTCTTCAAGTAAAGAAAAACAAACCCGATAGAAAGAAAAAAAAAACGATCTGTCAACGTCTCATTCACCCAGCGGTGCAGAAAGAGTTCTCTACTGGAGTCCTACTTCATGTGACAAATCTGGCCAGTGTGATTGGCTGTGCCTTTCAGGGAGTTATGTTTAGTTTTAGCAGCAGTACCTGCTGCTAAAACCTGCAATGAAGAGAGGAGGATGGCAAAAAGGAAGAACCTGGATATAAGAAAGTATTTTTCAAAGAAATCTGTAAGTCACTTAAAGCCAAGTTAACACATAAAATGTGTCCGTCATAATAACGTTACAGGCTATACTAAGCTTTGGCCCACATCAGTCTAAAATTGTATGTAACCATGAATAGCGTGTTTTGGAAACTAACTGCACAGCAGGCAGCACTATTAGTTATCTCAGTCTCCCAGAGCATTTCTAATTTTGATTGAAACTGTCAGAGAAAACGGCAGCGTCGAGTAAGCCAGGATATTAGATATTAGATACAGAGGCTGTTAGAATTATATGTCTAACGTTAAAATGTCGGTGACACAATAATTTCATCCTAATGGTACTGACATATTCATAGGGTTAATTTTTGAGACAAAATATCATGAGGTAGTCATGATTTTGCAAATATCCACCTTGTAGTGCAGTTTGCACAAATTGTTTTAAAAATGCACTCACGCTACAAACATTACTGATGAGTCAAGATCTGCACAAATTGACAGCACTGAAGCAGCTCCACATTTTATTCTTATTGTCATGTATGTCCTATTTGTCAGGTGACAGAAGAACCAACACAAAGCTCAGAGAGCAATGGTGATACAAGATTACAGGTGAAGTTGGATGATGACTTGTTGGTTCATGACTATTTGAAGCACATGTGTGACTGCATGTATTTGGAATGTCTCACTGTTATTTATCAGGTGACAGAGGCAGCTCTGCCATGTTGTAGCTCAGACAGAGGCGAGGTCACAGGTGACTGACTGATGATTTGGTGCTATAGTTTAAATAGTATTTATTATCATGACAGTTGTTAGGCTGCTGATGTAAACTGATTCATTAGTGTACATTTGACAGAGAATCTGAATTGACATGTCTCACTTTTTATATGGCACGAATCAATGTGTTATTTTATCAGGTGGCAATATGTCCTAGTGCAGTTAGAGAGGAAGAGCCAGGGCCAAAGCTGAGGCACATCAAGCACAGAATAATATTCATCTTAGATGAGTAGTTTTATGTACAAAAACCACCAGGTCATTCAGTGTTCCCTTAGTGCTAATGTATAAGAGATGTTGGTGTACTATAACTGAAGTAATGTTGTTAAGTCCTTAAAGTCATATTCTTTTATTGTCATGACTGTATTTGAAGCTATTTTTATTTTTGTATGATACCTGATTTATATGGATTATGGCTGAAGTAAACTAAAGTCTAAAATACTTAGTCAGTCATTTGTTTAATAGTAATTTAACATTATGTAATTTACATATAAAACTATGAATTGTAATTTTAAATGGTTTAAAAGCATGTAGAATAGCATATGTATATGTAGCATATGAGGAATATGATTAGGTTTGAGACTTTTTCAGAGATTTATAGCGGGACCTGGGTGGTCCGTCGGAATGCCATTCACTCACTTGATGGATAAAGTGAGACATAGAGTAAGAAACTGGGCTAACAGAGAGACAGACTGACATGGGGACAGGAAGTGAGTGAGAGGCAGGTGGAAGGGTTTGATTAGAGTGTGACGTGAGAAGGGACTGCCTTGACACAGGGACAGATAGTGAATTGACTCCAACTGGAGGGCGGGGGGTGATACTGCAGGTCACCACCTGACATGTAGAGGTAATCCACACATGGGCCAGCACCGGACCACCATTGTGTCTCCAACTGGCTTTGTGCTGGCCCATGTGTGGGCCACCTCTGGTAAACCTGATCTGAGCCACCAAAGGGCCGTCATTCTTTGCGGTATATGGGCCATGTGTAAGCACATTGTGTGGGCCATATCCAGGCCATACCAATTTTGCTATGTGGGTTGTAGTTTGTTTTTCTTTTTAAATTATTGTCACACTGTTAAAATATTGTCTATAAGCTGATATATTTTTGTTAGCTGTGGGGTTCAGGACCAGTTAAGTTTCACTGTTTATTCTTGTGTCCTGTGTGCAGTGGGGTCTGGTAGTTTCAACACTGACATACTTTGTAGAGTTATATTAAGATGTGACAAGTTGAATGAACTGCTCTATACCCTAGAACATACCCCAAAGCAAACCTTTACACTACACACACACATACACTAACGTCAGCATTCCCAACTTCAAGGTCCTCCCCACGGCTCTGCACATGACCCTAATGGAAAATTGCAAAGCAAACATAAATAAGTTCAGGATTTGGTGGGCTCCCAGTCAGCTTTCCTAGTGTGTGGTGACTTCACTGGCCCACTTCTGGACCTAGCAGCCTAAGACAGGGATTTTTGCATGTTTATAACTGTGGTTTATAGCTAATAGCTATTATATATAATAGCTATTAGCTATAAACCACAGTTTGTTTTAGCTATAGCTAAAACAAACAAACAAACAAACATTGGACTGATTCAGCAGACTTCAGATCTCTTGTTAAAACCTTATATATTGTGAGGTTGAAATTGTTAAATATTGTCATTGTGTTATTAAGTTTGTAAGAATGATCAAAGACATTCTTCTGTTTCTGTTGACCTCCCCAGCCTGTATTTTATTATAGGCACATCCTATGTGAAGGTTCTGTTTTCTTGTTTAGTAAGCTTCCTGCTTTTATGACCCTTTTGTGGGCAGGAGGTCACACAAACGCACCCCCAAACACACACACTCACATGCATACACACACACACACACACACACACACACACACACACACACACACACACACACACACAGATGGTCACACATACATGCATACACACACACACACACACACACACACAGACACACACACACACACACATAGACACACGTGCTTACACGTGCACACATATACACACATAGTACCTTGTCTTTTAGAACCATAGGGGGGTTTACAGTGGGTGGTGCTTGTGTGTACTGTAACTGTTTCCAATAAAAGGCGGCAAGCAGAAGCTGGTTCTTCGAAGTGGTCTGACCGAGGGCAGGAGGGCTGCTCTAAGGTCCTTCTCTTGCGTCTTGCTTCCTTGTCGTGGGAATAAGTCTCTAAACCAGCAGGGCCTGTGGAAGCGTAGACCCAACATATATAACTGTGACTGCTCACCGAAGAGCATATTTTTATGAAAATCTTCTTCATGAGGTAAAAATTCATCATAATAATATAATAATAATAAACTTTATTATAAAGCACACTTAAAAACCAAGGGTATGCCAAGGTGCTTAACAAGTAAAATAGAGTATAGGAGCCAAAAAGAAGTCCAGCTGTCATATCCTGTATTCGTGAATCCCTCCCCAATCTGGTCAGCGATTTGCTGATGGTAAATATGTCTATTGCTGCACAAAATGAGCATTAGCAAACTTAAGCAAACAATTAACCATTAGCACTAAACACAACAGCTGAAACTGGGCTATGCTATACATTAATGAAGCAGCTCAGCCATGGAAACCCATGCCATGACGCTCCCAGTG